TTTTTTGTGGTCACAAACTTCACTTCTCTGAAACAAATTACGCAACCACGTCCTGGTTTACGGCATTTTCCCTTGGCGTGAACGGCTGGGCTTGGTAGGGGTGTCATTCAGGCTGCACTACATCTTTTGCCCGAGAAGCACTTCATATTTTGAGGTTTTTTAATTGTAGCTAATCTAGACCCTGCGCTATGACTGTGTCTCCTGCGCACGGAGGCGTTTACTCACAGGGTTCACTCGCCTCCGTCAGGTATCATCAGCGGCGACACGCCGGAGGACATCTACGAGAAGATCAAGGACACGATCCGCGAGCAGGGCACCAACCGCATCTGGATACCCTCCAAAGAGAAGCTGTGAGCGCGCCACGGCGGCGCTCCAGACAACTAGACAGATCGCCGTGCTCAGAGCTTTACCGACCGGCCGCCGCCGAATCTCAGCCGGTCTGCGCGCCACGTCTGTAGGTGGCGCTGGCGGCGGGCTGGTCGGCTCCTAGGTGGCGCTGGCGGCGCTCTGCTCGCCGCCCGCCGTCACCCGTTGTTGATTGTTGCTGCGCCGTTCGGTGGACGCGCGGCGGAGCACCTCAGCTCTCTGGCGGTCCTGCTCGGCATGCCGCGGCCCAGTAGGCGCTCCGCTGGCGACCTCGGCCGCTGTAGTGAGCCAGCGTGACCTCTTCCTCGTCCCTGTACCGGCGCCCCGTCAGAGCGGGTCACCAGCCGACGGACCCGCGCCGTCAGACAGCGGGTCAGTCCTCGGCCCGCGGCGCCCCGGCCGACCGGTCGAGCCCGGCGCCCCGACCGCCGGGCCGCGCGAGAGAAGATGTGATAATTCTCATTTCCCCGATTTTAGTGTTTAACTCGCTGTGCCCCCTGTGTTGTCGCCGCGCCGGCGTGCGGTCAGCCGACCGACTCGCGTGTCGTGCTCGTCATAGTGCTGGTAGCTTCTCATTCATTTTAGTAATTTATATTCCCAGACGGTCGAGCGTTCATCGATGTTGGCGTCGTCCCGGTTAGATATGGCCGGTTGGCCAGTGTGTCCGGGTAGAACGAGTATTGTGCGCCTGGCACGCGCGAGAAAGAGTAAGCGTGTAGGAGAGAGTGGGTGAGTAAGTTGGTGAGAGAGTGAGTGGATGTATGAGTGAGTGAGAGGGAGGAGAAAGCAGCGCCACGAGCGCGCGAGCGATTTGAGAGACATTGACCATGTGTCAAATTATATTGTACCTATATAGAGGTCGTGTGTAAATAGAAGTATTACCAATAGTGTGTGCCACGGAGTGTTTCTTCCTAAACCGACGGAATGCAATGTGGAGGAATGAGTGGAAAGAGCACAGCAAGTCTGGTTGGAGATTTGAATTTGACAGCAGCTGATTCAGCGAAGTTCAACGAAGCTCCTAGTGCGATCTTGAGCTCTCTGATAGTCTAGTTCTAATGGCTACCACAACTTTCGAGAGGCGGAAGTAACAATGTATTTATCACATCCTTTCCATACACCGATCAACACTGCGCGTTTCTGAACCCATCCGCCCTGGATCCTCGCTGGATACTGGATCCCTAAACCGCACTGGATCCGGGTCCTCCACTCCGTGTTGGATACTGTATTCTACTCAGCCTTCGAATCCCCACCTGCTGTAACAGCCTGGATACTGGATCCTCGAGGTCCCATCCCGCTCCGGATCCCCGGATCCTGGATCCTCCGAGACACGGGCCGAAGGACAGGGAGTTAAATAGCCACAGACTCTCTCTCACTCACGCGGTCAGACGATATAAACAGCACACGCCCGGCGATAGTCCATCACTCACACGGGGCGGCTAGAACCGGCGGCACAGACGGATATGTGACCGAACGGCGCACAGATGACGTCACAGCCCGGTGACGTCACGTGAGGCCGGCGCGGCGATATGACTGGTCAGGGACACGGGAGTCGGCGTCTGGCGCGGCGGGGCGGAGCGGGAAAGGTTCGGGTTAGTGGAATAGGACGGCGGCGGCGTAGAAATCATCCCAGCGAAGTAGATATGGTGTCGGGAGCCTGTGTGTGATGGCGGGGGTTGGAGTGGTGCGGATATCCCGCCCAGGACCCTGTGGAGCTCCCGGGGAGCGGTGACGGTCAGGACATCTCCATTGGAAGGGTGCTGGGCCGTCCAGTAGTGCCATCCACCCTGGGGGCCCGCCGGTGTCCCGTGGAGGGTTCGCGGAGGACGTGGCTGTCGTAGAGTGCCCCCAGCGCACGGGGGCCGACGTACACAAGCAGCTAAGGCAATCGCGGCGAGCAGCATACGTCACGAGCTCAACAATGTCGTCACTAGGCACGACCACGCGTCATTTGGCGCGCCGATACGTCCAATTATGATATTTGGCTCACTAACACACGCGTCATGATTGTATCTAAAACGGTCGCGCGCGCGCGGCGGTCGGCCGGCGGTCAAGTGAACGCAGCACGGACATTTCGACAAACGTTATACAATGAGTGAGAATGCACATCTAAAACGGTCAACAAGTACGAACATAATGGCGATCGCCGTCGGCAGGCCGCTCACAAACTCCCGGTCAAACTCGAATTTCTGGAGAAGCAGTAACATAGCGCACCTAACATAACATCGACTTGTCAAGCTAGTAAACGAAAGATACACTTCAGCGTCGTTCCGAAAGCGTACCAGCGGAGTCAACACTGTCTGCTGGCAGCGGTGCCCCCACGAGGGGAGCTACTGAAAGCGGCGCCCCCGCGAGAGGGCGCCACAGGCGGCGGCGCCCCTCGACAGGGCGCGCCGTCGGGTTAGTCGTACGAGACTTTATTGCTTGAAAGTATGATACCCCACTAAGCTAGAAGTCTAACTCCCTGAAAGCACCATCGGGGCGGTCAACAGCCACGCGGGTTATGAAGATGAGGACCGCTGGCGGGCGCCGCAGTGGCGCCACCTCCGCTCTCACTCGCTCGGGAAGACGCAGATGGGCTCTCGGCCCGCCTCCAGTCCACGTGTCCAGCCCTGCCGTCCTGTCGCGGCGGCGGCCGCTCCTCCCACTGCACAGCGCCGCTCCTGAATGTGCCGGACGCCGGCGGCCGTCCGGCCGGTCCGCTCCCGTCCGTCTGGCCCTCTCTCTGCTCCCCTCCCTCCCTCTGCCCTGTGTGGAGGGCGGCGCGGTCCAGCACTGACCGACCGGTAGCTCGCGCCGCGCCCGGCCCGTTTGGCACTCTGACGCCGGCCGTACCGGCGTGTGCACACGCTCTCTCGCTCTTTCCACAGACACGGTATCACAGGCGGGCGTGCGGGGCGGCGCTGCGACCGCCGTCACCCGCAAGAAAGCTCTCTCTCTCAGCCGGCTCGGCGCTCCACGCCCTATAGTCGCGTGGCCAGCAGGGCAGCGACCAGCAGCGACCAGCCGGCGGTGACAGCTGCCGCGCTGCCGCCCGCAGGCCGCGCCGTGGTGGGCGCCGGAGCCGCCTTGGTGGTCGGCTTGGTGGTGGCCGGCGGGGGCTCGGCCTTGACCTCTGGCTCGACGACGTCGGTCTCGCTGGGGATGTCGATGTCGGCTCCATCTTCCTCGGGGTAGACGGTGGTGGGAACTGGGGGACGGGCGAGAGGAGGAGGTCAGCCTGAGGTTGGCACTGATGCGGCCAGCGAGCACACGAATAAAAGAGCAGCGATCGAAAAGTTGAAACTGAACACCACAACGATCAATTACGCACATGGTTGAATATCTTTGAACCAATAGAAGTGACATGACAAAACGAGAGCAATTAATGGGCATTGAATTTACACGGGATAACATGCCAGTGCCGATACGTATTAACTGGCGGTCCAACCGCCTGAAGTTACGCCGCCAATCCCTCGACCGTCGTTCATACTCACTGGTGACTCCGTGGTCGTAGTCTGTCCAATCGCCGTAGTCGTACCAGTCGTCGTAGTCGCCGCTGCCGCTGCCCAGGTCGTCATAGTCGTAGTAGCTGTGGTGGTAGCCGTCCTCGTCGTCCGTGAAGCCGTAGATGCCGTCTCCAGAGCCGTAGCCGCTGCCCATGTCGCCGTAGATGGGGTCACCCCAGCCGTAGGAGTCCACGGGAGGCATGGTGGCCAGCTTGTCGTTGGAGCCCTGCGGTGGAGAGTGGGGTGTTAGTCAGAGTGGGGAGAGTGGGGGAGGAGGGAAGAGTGAGAGGGAAGTGAGCTATTAGTAGGCGCCGGTGTGGGTCGGAATCGGATACCTACAGTACCTACACACAGAACGGAGGCTTGAGCTGTAACCTCCATTAATTTCGGTATCTGAATCACAGCCGTGCTCAAATGTGAGATCGGGATTAAAACCTAGTAGTGTGTTCAGGTAGTCGCATTGGAATCCAGAAATGCAGAGCATCAATGCAAACGAACAGCTTGGCACCTCGTTCCGTCCCACGATGGCACGGCTGTTGCGGTTAAGGATCGGCCCGGGCTTTCAGTGAGCTGCCACTGAGTACAGGCTGGAACGAGCTAAAACACCAGTCCGGGTATGCATACAAAACAGAGGTATAGTTCGTTTTTCTTAAGTTTGCCCCTCACTGTAAACGTCTCTTTGAACACAGCACGAGAATTGCTAGCTGAATTACTGAGAAAACTGGTTGGCGCACACTGATTTGACCAGATTTCACAGACGATCAATTTCATCAAATTTATTTACTATTTCACAGACTCGTAGCTCATATTTAGCAATACCTACAGCCCCACAGGGATAGACGACTTCTCAGGAATTATGTCTGAACTAATAAATAAATTGCACGGCGCTTAACATAACGCTAAATCGTCGGTGTTCAAAACTTATTTTTGAAAATATTATTCACATCTACAATACAATGTGCGCTAACCAGTTTTCTCAGTAATTCAGCTAGCAATTCTCGTGCTGTGTTCAAAGAGACGTTTACAGTGAGGGGCAAACTTAAGAAAAACGAACTATAATGACGGTGTTTATGAACACGGCCATTAGGTCGAGGGAGGACAGGCCATTAACCATCACAAAAGCACGCTCCCTCATCTACGTATATTTGCGGAAAATGAAGGGTATTTGGCTGCACGGTGGCCTCGGCGAGACGTCAGATAACATGCAGGCTACATACAAATGAAGGGACAAAACTAGCACCATCGAGCTACAACTCAGTGACAACATGGCCTCCGCCGCGGAGGCCGAGGTAGTGGAATTTTAATTCCCCCCAAAGGAACGTTCAATGCACTTGTTTAACAACCTTTAAAATAGAGCGCGGTCTCCCGGCATGACATGCACTGAAGTTCTGCTTCTCCTTCCAACAACATGAGTCGCTGTTGCAGCCGGTCTGCCGATTCTGGGCAGTGTCGCCGACCATTAAACATGCATGGCTCAGCGTCTGATGACCGGCAGAATTGGATCGGCAGCCCACCTACCGGCCCTAAATCCGTACATCCGCGGCAAACTTTGCCTGATCGACAAAGTTGGCGATCGCCTAAACCATTTCGGAGGCTGTCGTCCCCAGGATAGAAGCAGCAATACTTCCAGTCCGAAGAAATGTAATGACCCAACTTCCATGGGACAAATATGTACGGGCTCAGAAATGGCATGCAGGATCGGAAAGGGCAGGGGGATGTCGTGGGGTGACAAAACGGATCGTTCATTTCGAAAACGGTCACACATTCCAGACGACCAAAACACAGACGTGGCACTCGGCCTAAAATACGAAACGCGCTTTCTACGTTGCATGGATGCATGCTTCTAAAAACACCCTCGGCTTATAGAAACAATTTTTCATCTAATTTTTGGTCATATAATGCAATGAAACACATTGTGTTGGACGACGGGCGTTGCCAGTGATATAAATCTCGATGTCATCAGTGACTCGATATCATTCCCATACCCATCAGCACAGAAATATACGGAACTTTCGACATGATAGCTTCGGAACCGCTTGCCATATAATACCCGTATTGCTGCGATTCTCGACACAAACTTCTCGATATCATCAACACCACTAATTTATCGTGCGCCACTGGGCAGTGAATCACCACAGAACAGCCTTCGGCAGCCTGGAATGGAGCAATGCCGGTATCATAAGGAGCCGTCATTCATCTGATCCAATGCATATGCTATGTGCTGCTACTCCGAGCTGGTTGTTCATGTGCATTAGATAGAACCACCGAACAATCGGTATCCACATGGAGGCCTGTTCTGGCCTTGGTGGTATCCCTATATATGACTTTATTGGCCATTGCGGTTGATAATCCTTTCATAAATACTATATCCTTGTGTGTCTCGTATGGGCGTTGATATTGCCCCACGAAGTCTCCAACGCACACGAACTAGCTTCAACACCGCCTCCCACAACAAACATGCACTGTTCCGTTTCTGCGAAGCACAGGCTCGCCTCCCACGGGTTCGGTTCGCACGCTCACTGCCGGCCACAGTCAGCCGTCTGTGCCGTGAGTGGGCCCGGTTCGCATGTTACGCCCCCACTGCCGCCCGCCAGGCGGCTCGGCACCGTCACATTAGGCCAGATTAGACGGTGTTTGGCGGTCAAAACGCACAGTTGTGCGACCGCCGACGCTGGCGAAAGGTCCGTTTGGTCCCAGGAATGTGTGCGCTGGGCGTCATGAGACGTTTTCGGTCGCGCATGCCAGGGAGGCATGTCGAGGGCGCTCGCTGAATGGAGAGCTAACATGGAACTGACTGACGGGACCGATGCAGTGATTTAGGTATACATTGATATGGGCATAGTGCAATGGTAAACGGCACGGGCCATATCCCGTGGGCAGGCATTTTTCCTCATTTAGCAAAGTTGACGGTGCGCCTCTGTATTTGATAAAGACGTTCATGGTCAGTACGTCATAATTAAATCTAGTTTCTACACTGGTAAGGTACACCTAATTTGTTTACAAAGTAGATGTACCTACTTTGTAAACAAAGCCAAGTATCCTAAGAAACATTTACATCCATAAAGCAGCCATTTCCAGCGTGGGGGATTGAATACCCCGCTTAACTTTTCATTTAAATAATATATTTTTGCAGGGGACTTCGGGAGTTATCAGTAAGTTGTACCTCATTTCCAGATAGATACATCTAATTCTGTTCATCTCCATTGGTGTATTCGTATGCGAGCTAGAAGGGCGTTTTCGGATGCCGTTGCAAAACATTTGTTTTATTGCACGACCTAAATGAATTGCTAATAAAAACGATTATTTGAATTGAGGTCGTCATGCTTCTCAGATCAACAACATGGAGGTGCACACCCATTTGCACACCCAATGACACGCGGCGCATAAAAGCAAGAAAATCATTCTGCTGCATCCTAATATTATTGTTCCCAGAAGCTCTAAATTCAAAGCTGTGATAGCACGGCGATTACATTCAAAGTCTAGCTTTGACGACCTTACGGTCATTTGTATGCCACGCTCTCAGTGCAAAGTGCACAGCACAACGCCTAAATTATTCACCACAATATATACGACCGGGACAAGACAGCCAGCCAACGGCGACAATCTAACCATGCAAATAACATTCAGTCTCAGCTAGAGGTGACCGACCCAGAAACGAACACCGAACTCACTCACCCGTGTGTGTCAGAAACGGGATCGAAGACGCACCGCAGGGGGAAGGGAAGGGGGAACCGTTAGAAGGGGCCAATAAAGTTTTCCTAAGAGCAGACCATCACCGAAGGAAAATATATTGTTGGATTAGCATTTGGAAGGCAAAGACTTCAGACGTCCTATTTTATCTTTCTATGAAGTTTAGAAGGATCGTCATTCTATCAAAATTATGTCAATGCAAAAAAAAAAAGAAAAATAAGCAGTATGGTTTCTAGAACCCGCCACCTTTACCTACATTCGAAACAAAATGCATGTGGAAGCATCAATGAAAAGGTGTTATTGCAGGTAAAAAGCGCTGAGTGAAATAACGGAAATCCATGTGTGGCAGGATCATACCGAGCCGGGGAGTCTCGGGCGTTTGACGACCCACCTGTTGTATCTGATCCAGCATGTTGGCCTTCTCCTTGAGTGTGCTGTCAGCGATCTGCGGCACCACCACCTCGGGGTTGAACTCCTGCGAGTCGAGGCCCATGCCGGCCACCGGCTTCACATATCTGTGAGAGAGGCAAAGAGACGGGGGTGTCATGGCTGGGCGGTGGACGGAGGGGTGGGTTTGAGTTAGAACTTAGAGGGGTCACCCCGGGTCATAACGGTCATAGGACACATGAACGTCGAGAAAAGTCTGGCCGTGGTCAGTTCATAGCAGCATAGAAACATCCACAAGTTTTCGGTAAAAAAAAAACATTTTGCCGTGGGTGTTTAGGACGTGTCACGTTGGTCAGAGAATAAACGTTTAACTTCACTTCTTATGCAGCAATATTAATATCTAATTTAGACGCCTACAAAGGACGAGCATGTGGCGAACGTATGTACCAGCTTTTAATCCCATTGTGTCAGTATGGCTAATACCCCGAACATTTCGGATATCGCGTGTCGATATGGAACTGACAAGCAATACACACTGGTTATACCAGCTTATCCTGTATCGGATATCTAAGCTGATTAAACGAGGAACTACCCGTATTAAAACAGCGTCTGCGCTGAACCTCGTGTCAGTGTAAAGGATTTACAAAGACAGTATTGACTAGGACACATCAAATACAAACGACATGTAACGAAGATTTATATGCAACGCTCAACGGTAACGTGGCACGCCACTGACTGTCAGTGTCACGTCACATTATCACATATTCTATTAGCATCGGTTCACAGAAAAGCACATTTATTTCTGAGAGTGCCTGCTCTCAAATGCTTGGCTGGAATGTTCGGTTTGATAAAGAATGAGATGGGCCGATATAACTCATTGAAAGGGATCTATCTATTGATGAAACGGTTGGTCGAATACTTGGGGCTTTGCATTGCAGCTCACTAAACGCGATCCATGTGTTGTGAAGCGACGAACCGATTATAACTGAGCATCACATCGTTGGATTGAAAGGGAGGCGACCAATCCATGTCACTGTGTTTAGTTATTCTTTTAGGTTCTGAAGGAGCACTCACTCTCCGACTTCGTCTCCGTTCCAGCAGAAGGTCGAGTTGTTGGTCGACACGTCGTTACACGTGTCCTCTGGCATTGTCTGGAACATGTTCTTGTGCTGATCCACGTCACCTGAGAAAACACGGGGTCACACAAGGGTCAGATCAGAGCAGATATATCAAATCATGGCCAGAAAAGGTCAGTTAATGTCAGCCAAGGTCAGTCAGGGTCGAGTCAGCAGTCAAATAAAATAATATTGCCTGTAAACAGCAGAAAACAGGTAAAATGCTTATCTCGTTGTTTGACAGAATGTGGATAACTATAGCCGACTGTCGCAGCATTTACTTTCAGCGGGGCTGTAAGCACGGTAGATAATGACGAGCATCGTTCCCGGGGTTTGTCTCATCCACCAGTCCGGGCGCTCCTTGGTAAACGTTGGCTCATAATTGAAGCTTTCTTAGTCACCTTAGCCCAAAGGAGCCCGCCTAAACCCTGCTTAAATCCGACCGTCCGGGCTATTATATCAGATCAGTCATCCAAGAGCCCCATAAAAGAGCAGAGGTCTATAAAGCGGCTGCCGAGAGGACAGAGCGATAACAGAGGCAAACAGAGAAGAGGGGAACTTCCACAGATGGACACCATGCTACTCCGTGCGCACAGTCGATCAGGGTACAACTGAAAATTAGAAAGAAAGATTGATTGACTATATGGCCATTTTTACAGGACTTTCCTTGTCTTATCCGGTTCCGACTCTGTTGTAAACGTCATAAGCGACATAAATCAGAACAACAAGCCAGCTCCGTCTGCATTGACGATACCGAAGGGTCGCCAGGTACTCACTGGTGAACGCCCGCAGCAGCTTGTTAAGCGGCTCGCCCTCGGCGTCGAAGTCGATGAGCTGCTCTCGGCGGGGCAGCGGCGGCAGCAGGCCACCCATGTCGCCTGATGACCGGTACTGCATGTCCACGTCGCGGCGTCGACGGCGACGCGACGGTTCCGACGAACCGCACGCGTGACGCACCTGTAGAACAGAGAGGGTCACCGTCAGGTCACGGTCATGGTTTGGTGTTAGAGGAAGGGGCAGGGTCAACGTTGGATGTTGAAAGTTGTCTGACATTAGCTGATGTAAGGTTTTCTTGTTTGGAAAACATCCCCGACTCTCCTGAAACATTTTGATCGATTATTCCATTAGCCGGAGACTATTTCGCTATGTTCCACAGTCCACTTAATTATATCAGTAGCCTTCCTGAATGCGTCGTTCTAATAAAAATGTCAAGCTGACATTAGCCCGTTCTGATCCGGCCCACTCAGCTACCCACGAGCCAGAGTTCCCTCCCTCTCCGCCCCCTCAAAATATGTCGTGTTTCGTGTAGTGCCATCCCAGCAATGGCAGCGGCCCCACTCCAACACACAATTCCAACCGTCCGCCCACAAAACGACCCTCCGGCGGGCCGAGATTTGGCCGGCCGGTACCGTTACGTCAGGAGTACTGTCGTCCTGCGGCGCGACACCATGCACAATTCACCGTCAAAGGGGAGCTCTGAGCCCGGCTGGGTCGTAGCCAGCCGGCCCGCCACGAACGGCGGCCCGTCAGATCTGCATAACCGGCGCCCGTCTGCAGCATAGCCTCATTGAGCGGCTTTGAGCCACCTATAGCGACCGGCGAGAGGTGCTAGGCCGGCCGGCTGCCATCAGTGACCAGACCTTGCAGGCAGTCACGCTGATGCCGTCGCCCCGCCTACTGGACCCCACCAGACCCTAAGATAGCCCCCTTTCCCCAGTGGGTCCCCATGGACCCCGCCCACATAGGGTTTGCAGAGGGGCGGAGGCCACCACCCACGACCTCTCTCCTCTCCTCAGTGACCGTCGAGCTCGCATTGTTTATTGGTTTACCGCTCAGTGGGCGTGGCAGGGCGGGGGACGAGGCCGTGCTGTGACCCTGATGACGTCACAGGAGAGAGCGGTGGAGTATACTGGACTGGTTGCAAAGCCAGAACCGCTGCATGACAGAAACTAGCGCGAGAGGCACAAACAAGAAATAGAGCTCGAGCAGGACAATCAACAAATAACAAACACAGGTGCCAATACCTAATTGAACTGAATACGCTAAGTTCAAGTTCCCAGCACTTCGTTGAACAGGAGGCTCTTTAAAAAAGCTTCAACTCGATACGTCCTGTTCCGGCCAGTTCAGTCCTCCATTTCAGTCTCGTCTCGTCCCCGATCTGGCGACTGGCGCCGGGCGCGTCTCGCGATGCGTCGCGGCGCCGGCGCCGTCTCTGCCGGCCGCCGCGATATGCATCGGAAACTAATATATACAGCTGTTTTTGCAGCTACCTCCGGAATGCGCCCATCGAACGGCCACGAGGTCGACGGCGCCTCCCGATTGACACCCGGACATCGGCTGACGGTGGAGGACGCGAGTCGGCTGGACGAGACCGGCTCGACAGACCGTGGTCTAGTCGAGAGGCCGGGAGGTCGGAAATTTACTTCAACGGCAAATAATTGCATAGTGATTGGGTTGGTCGGAAGGTCGGGAAAGACTTGAACGGAAAATCATTAGATAGCTGGATATGTTTTTGGCACTCCGATCGGCATTTGGCTATATCAGCAACAGCTGCGCATTTGTGCCATGATTGTCTCGGCGACTTAGCTTGATCAGCTCAGCAAGCCGACAAACAAGCTGGTCCCCTGATAGGAAACGTCAGCACCACAGCACGCTGAGACTGCATCAGCAGCCTCCCGTCTCAGAGTTTCGGCATATCGTGACAACTGCACAACTGACAGACGCAGCCTCCGACGGTCGATCATGTGTAGTCGTTGCATGGGTAGCGACCTCGCAATGAAATATATCGCTCATGAGCGATGCATAACACAACATGTATGTTGTGCTACGACTTATGACGCATGGCACCGTGGCATCTGATACCAATGGAATAAGCAGCACGCTCCCTCATCGTTCTGCATACCCACTGTCAGAAAAAGCATCGGAATATGTTTATGATTGACAGAATGGGAAGCGTATAGGTATCGGTCAGAGAAGACAGTGGCTTGGGCCGCCGCCTGTGCTACCAGAGACAATCAGAGACAGTGACAAAGACAGCGGGAGGAGACTCAAGCTTCCTCAACAGATAACTTAAAGTGAGCCACTGATTGAAATGTCAAGGCCCAGTGACAGATCTCCTTCGACATGAAGCAGGTTGACCTACCACCCGGCAGTGAGGAAGTTCAGAGAGATCACCAAAGGTCACGGCACCCTAGACTCACACGAGCACGCCCTCAGTGACCCGACCGTCTCGGTGGGTCCTCCGGGAGTTGGATTGCCCGTCGGTGACACTTGCCATCCCTCCCCCTCCCCACCATTGTTTTCGACCCAAGTAATCACTCCGGAAATACATTGCAGACGACCTACCCAGTCAGAGGGTGGTCGCTATCCGTATCTACCATCGTGTCTGTCCAGATCCAGCATCCGGCTACTCTACTCACTGAGGTCACCCGCGCCCATTGACCATCATTTGACCGCCCTGTGACCGTCCGGTGACCCCTATCTGACCTCTGACCCCGGCAGTCGACCCTGAGACGGCGGCGGGGCGCCGTCGTCGCCACCGTCGCCCCTGACCCGGGCTGGGTGCGTCGGCAGATCCATAAATAAACAGGCGGGCGGCGCGGGCGGCGCGGGCGGCGTACACCGGCGTGTCACAACAGAGCTTTGAAGTGTCGCCGCCGCACAGTGGGGCGTCGGAGCCGGCGCCGCGCCCAGGGAGATCAAGCTGCCTAACCCATACGTCAACCACGGAGGGCTGAGAAGCACCGCTGCACATTGGCGACAGGGTTAGAGAGGTGGTGAGAACCAGGCGCGGCTGGGGAAGAGCAGAGGTGCACCATGAGAGAGCTGGGAACGGGTGCAGCCGCTGTAAGAGCCCTGCCGGAGAGATGGCTCAAAATAAAGAGTCAACTGCTCACATGAGATGCGCCATTCCATTTGGCAAAGCGTCAGCCCGCTAAAAGATGGTCTCCTAAAGTGAATCAAGCCAGGAGCTGGCGTGCCATCGGTGCATCCGGGGCTCGGGCGAGACGCCTCCCTCCGGAGGCTCCTCTGTCAGACGTGAGTGTCGACTCCGAACAGCTGAGCGCTCAGCGCGCTGTCACAACATTCCGACAGCGCCCCAGCAGGTAAACAAACTCATTATCCTGAATAATATATTTCGGACATGCAACAGCAGCAGACTAATCTTACCTCAGCTACTGTCAGCCTTTTTATAAGCACGCTAATTTGGTTTATCAAAACAAATTAGAGCTGCTTGGAGAATAGGCTGGGGAGCATTTAGAACACATATCCGATCCCATTTGAGGCACCGATGTTCCCTGGGCTCAGCGGCACAGCCAACAACAAAGACGGGAGAATGGAAATGATCAACAGGGTTGTAGAAATGCAGAGCATGAAGATATTCTTACATCTGACAAATAGATTCGATTGATTTGAAGCGTTGAAACTGTCGGAAGGTATGGCATAAACGTCTCTTCGTCGTTAACGTTTCGCCGACTTAATCGAGGCACATCGAATTAAACGGCGCGTTTTTTATACCTATTAACGTATAGCTGTTTTGGTGATATTTGCGCCCATGTCTGATCAAGAGGTATAATGGAGCTCATTCACTTGTCTGAGAGACTCAAACACATCATATACAGTCATGAAGAGTCACAGTCCAGTTGTTTATCTTCGTCTGCCTTGCCCTAATACCTGAATGAGCTTAACTTCGGAATTATCCCTAACACTGCTTACTAAGCACGCTTTCTCGGAACCCCTGCAGCACAATCTTATCCTCTTCATCGGAAAATCCATAGGACATCTGTTCCACCTCGCACCTGGATACTAACCTGACCTCTACTCAGGTCACTCTCCGTGAAATCTTGAGACCCACCCCGCCCGGGCCGCGGCTCTCCCCTCCCTCTCCGCCAGCCGGGTCACTGCTCACCCTCAGCGGCTGCTCTGAAGGCCAGACATGGCGCAGCCCACCAGACGGCGACCGGCCCACCTCGTCCGATCGTGAAGGAATGCCGTCTCCCGGGCCAAAGCGTCACGGCCAGCCGCCTCGGACTGAACCCGTTTTCCGCCCAGCCACCGAGACAGTTTCGGGATGCGGCCGCCAGAGGCGCTGATAACACAGTTTAGATGTCGCTAGTGTAGCCGAGAGGAGGGCCCTGAGCTGCGCTCGGGTGACCCCAGTTGAGATGCGATGGCCTTCGCTTTCCTGGCGCCAGACGGCATGCCAATCAGCACCGGCTGTAGTCTGTTTCCATGCAACGGACCACCATGAAGCCAAGAAATGGCCGCTGCCGCTGCCGCCGTCACCTCCTGTCATCCGGTAACAGTTGAATAAACGGATGCCAGACGGCAGTTGGCGCCGCCGAACTGCGGTAACTGGGGCGGCGCCGGATCTGGCAGGGGCGCAGAGGGGGGCTCGGGGGGGGGGGGGCGATCAGCACAATATTGGCGGCCCTCATGTGTTCCAACACCGCGCGGCTGAGGTATGTCAGGCGGATCAGGCTGGTGACGTCAATGCTGCGACTGTAGGAGAGGGAGCCACACAGCAAATTTGTCGTGTTTCGAACACCTGACAAGACGTCAGACAAGTTTCCCGGAAAGTGTCAGGTGTCATTACAGGCCACCAATACCTCTGTGGCGGTGGTTGTCCTAAAAACTCCCTCCTGACGCGCTCTTTTCCATCGTCTCTGACGTATCTGCAGCTTATGTCTCACGATTCAGAGTCGTGATTGTCCGTTTCCGGACCACAACTCACGAATTTACCATGCGGAGTGACAACTCAATGAAAACCGGTGTTTTACCGCAGGCACCCTCTAAATCTCGCAGTCTCTGACGGTGCACCGGGGTCACGATATGAGACCGCGTCTCAATGGGCCGCTGACAGCTCCTTTCCAGGCAGCCATTCTGCCGCCGCTGGATAAATAACAAAGCGGATGGATATGAGATGAGCTCATAACACACGCCTAACGGCCGGGCTC